AGTGTGGCAAGCTGTACTTGTGAACTCCAGGCTCAACAGTAAGATCGACTTCAGTTTCGTCAGCTGATGGAGGGAAACACTGCGGCCCCTGCGGTCTGAGATGCAAAGCCAGACTTTGTACTCCTCGCCGTGATGATTGACCACATCGTACATGGCTCCTGCAGAGTGGCAGGTGATGGAGTGAGGAGCAATATTTGGCTCTCGGTGGAAGTTTTGGTTCCTTTTGATTATTAGCAGTCTGTGGTGTGATTCGGCTAATGCAAGTATGCGGGAAGAGCAGATGGATGGTCGCTTTGGGCCAGAGGCGCTGTCTTCACAGTCCGGAGTGGCACCCATGAGATGAGAGCTCCTGTGATGGAAGGGCAGTAGGAGGGAGGCGGAGACAGATGTATCTGATACATCTGTTTTTGGACTCTCGCGGTGTTAGAGATGCCGGCCACCCAGCAGTGCATCATCTGCATCATGGTGATCCTGGCAGGCTTGGTTCAGGAATCCGATATGGAGAGGCCGTTGGCCGGCAAGTGTCAGCTTTGGTTTAGACAGCGGAGACGACTGCAATCTTTCAGATTTGCAGTTGAGGCGGACAGACAAACGGAGTCTGCGACCCGCCATCGAACGGAGCTTCGGCTTTGCCATCTGCAGAGCATCTGGCCATGGAAGAACTTCAGAATTTGGTGGCCGCAAACGGTTGCTTCAAATGCCGGACTCTCCCAGGCATTTGCCTCACGGAGTCCGCTCACAGGCTGAGATGGTTTTGCCCTACTCGGATTTTTATGCCAATTACAGCATCGTTCTTTTGACCAGGGGCTTGGGGGCCTGATGGCTTTCATCCCATGCCAAACCCACTACACTTCATTAACCAAGATGGCCATTTACAGCTGGGCTACAGCTTGTGCAAAACCATTACTATCATTTACTATCCATTACTGGCACATTTGTTGACCTAGGTTCCATTCTAAGCGGCATGGAGGCGTCATTCGCACGCCAAAACTTGAGTATCTTGAGTATACCATGTTGCACCGCTACTGAAACTACTGGCAGAACCTCTTTACGCCTAGCAGGGCGTGGCAAACCATGGCAAATCTCTGATTTCGATCATCCAAAGTCCAGGTCACCCAAAACTCCCTGATGCTCTGACAGGCAGAAGGTGTGCAATCCACACTGAAAACCCGGGCCCGTTCGGACGATTCGAACCGTTCGGAATTTCCGCGATCGAACAAATCAGCGTGCAGCGGCTCTGGCGCCTGACACGGAGGATGCATGGATCCTGACACGGAGCCACGGATCGATGAAGGCAGCAGATCAAGGCTCCGTGTTTTCATGCAAACATTGACCCATCAGTAAGACTTCAATGGGCGGGCCAATTCCCCAATGCATGCAACATCATGCAACATCATGCGATGTGTTTTTCAAAGAGTCACGAGCAAGGTTGATGCTCCTGTGGAGGGCGGTGGCGACGCCATGGCGCTGAGAATCTACGGTCTTTGTACGTCCAGCAGGCCAATGTGGCACCACTCCCTCCGGTCGATTGGCATTCATGAAGTTGTGAAGAAGGGTGATGCTATGCCGCTTGCTCTCTGTGCGAAACGTAGCGCTTGTCTTGAAGGATGTTTAGAGACCATGCCTTGATTTCTCGGTCCGGGTGAGGAAACCAGGCTGACATTCCGTTAAACCTGTCACAAGGAGGTTTGCAAATGGCTGTGCGGATATGTGTTGGTTCAAGAATCTCAAGTTGAAAGCAAGACTCGAGGTATACAGTACAAGATGGCCAGGCCAGCGTTGATGATCTTAAGCTAGCTGAACAGCACACATTCATTCAAACACTTCAATGGTCAATTGACAAAAATGGGTTCCTGCTGCTTTCACTTTGCGGCCGATATCTGTCAGTCCGTCCTTGAGTTTCTACCTTGAAGCTAAATTGTATTGAGCCCTTTCTTTACTCCCTAACACTGCATCATGTCTGTCCAATTTGGCTTCTACCCACTGACAGGCAATCAGTGAAAGCGCTCAGACCAATTTAGGAGACAAACTTATGTGTCTCATCGAACAGGCTGCCGAGTCGCACCTGCTTCTTTATGGTGTGGATCCCCATTCTGTGGACCCCCAAGCAATCGTGAAAAGTCCGTTCCCGAAGAATGTGGTAGGGTGGATGACTCTTGGTGTGTTCGAAGCCTGCGAAAGGCACAAACAACTACAACTAGTGCTCCAAACTGGAGCATATCAAACATGCATTTTCAGGTGTATGTCTTCCAACCTGTTTCATTGTCATACAAAGGCCCGCATGACGAACAACACATGAAACTGATCCCATGGAGCCGGAGAAACAAGATGTGGAGAGGCAGGCAACTAGTTCTGCCTTCTCCAGATCTAGGATAGTCCAGGCAGTGCAACAAGAAAAACAAGACGTCCTCATGGTGTTGTTTTCCGGTCAGCCAGGCTCCAGTAAACAGCCGAGCTCACATCAAGCTCGAGGTGGAGTTGTCCTTGGTAGGGAAAAGCTAAAGCGGCCCTCCTCGACCCAGAAAGCATCTATCCTAAATAGAGAGAACAAAAGCCCCCGTGTAGTCACAAGTTACTCCAACAACTTCCCTTCTGACGTACTTTTCCATGGGACCCGCTTCAAGAGAACACAGGGCTTACTGGCACAGTGGCTGTGAGGGGGTAGAGGTGTCCAACATCTAAAGGTTCCAGAAGCCTACCTTCCACATCTATGTCAATCAAAGTCTTCAAAGTCTTCAGTCTTCTGCGAAAAAGGAGCGGTTTCCAAACCAACCTCAAGACCAATCCAAATGGATTCTCGCATATTGAAGCTCTGAAGTCTGGCATTCGCAGACTCGGGCAATATGAATCTAATCTTAATCGATTGAACTTAGTACAGCTTAGCAAATGGAAATGCACGGTGGCAATCCCCTTCGACGCACATCTTGGAGATGTAAAAACCTTCACTGCATCTCTTTGGGAACCACTATAAGGGCTGGTCGTTGATGAGTCTTTTTTGTATTGTCAACGAGCTTACATCACGTCCATAGCAACCGAGGGCTGGTCGTTGCAAACATCTCGCATACGTGGGGGACGTTTTTGACCCTGATGGAACTCATGATGTGGAAGGTGAGATTGCCGATTGTGAATGGTGGGAGCGATTGTCAGCTGAGCAGTGCCGAATGGGAACCACGAGAGGTGGAAATCAACTACAGTCTGGCCACTCTTGGAGAATCTTGGAGATGGGCGGAGGAAGATGTCTTCATCATACTGGCAGTTCATCTTGGAGATCGGGGCAAAAATGCTTCGATCTTCAGGCAGCTCATCTCTGGGCGAGCAAGGAGACATTGAAAGCGCTCGGCGACTTGGAGCTGGAAGAAGGGAGAGAAAGTCATGGACGGTCTGACGATGAGACAGCAATGGAAGGACCATTTTTTCCGGATGGAAAGCAACATAGACATGTTTGGGGCAACTGCAGGGCTATGTAAGACCGGCCAACCTGAGCTACTCCTGAACCAATATAAGAAATTAGATCCATCCTGACAGAGACAGCAGCGTCTTGGCGAAAAGGGCAGGACCTGAAAGGATGGGACCAGTGGGACTTGTGACAATGTGGTGACCTCGGACTCCGTGGGCGACTCCGACTCCGCGCCATTCGCGAAGGGGAAGACGCTCCTTGGCAAACTGCCTGGCAACTGGGGACAACAGCCTCTCCAAGCCAAACTGCCTAAGACTCACTCCCCAATAGAGCAGCCACATGGAGATAGCAAAAATTTAGAATTGACGGAATCAGCGATTGGGGCAATCAGATGACCCGCGGAAGTCGTGGGGCAGCTTCTCAAAGAGTCATAAAGAGTTTATAGAGGCATAGAGGTGTCCGAGCTATGGGCGGGCACCGGAACTACTTACGGGAATTTTCGGAAGCCAAAGCCCAAAGTTACGGAAGGAATTTGATGCACTCCGTGGCCAGGGTTAGTTACGGTATTGAAATGCGACAGTTACGGGAATCGGTGATGAAGTAAAGGAAGTAACAGTTTGTGATGCGGTCGATGGTATCGAAACTGCCTTCGCCACCGGCGAGGCGGAATGGACTCTTGGGACTTCATCTAGAAGTAGAGAGACGGGAAACGAGAGACGATGACAACTCCGGGGGTTTTGGATGAAACTGCCGTTGTCGTGATGTGGCCAAAACGTCCAAAACCTCCCCGCGGAGTCCATTTTTGGGAATAGCTAGAACACTTACAGTTGTCTCGACATATGTGTGTGTGAGAAGCAAGATGAAGCAAAGGAATGTGTGACAGATCTTCACCTTGAAACCGCATCAGAGCAACAAATGGCCTTTCTTTCTTGTGACCGCAGAGCAGCTGGCACTTGGTTGCGGAATTTGTACATGGTTTGCCAGATATTTGAGCCTCTGAGGCCTCTCGGCACCTGAGTTTCCCGGCCTTTGCTCAAGAAGATTTCTTCGACGTCACCTGACACTGCAACTCAAATCAAGGGAGACAGAGTGCAAGGTCCCAGTCACCCTAGAAGATCCTAGAAGATTAGAACAAAAGAAAGCGAATTGAGTTGACAAGAGATTCAAGAGAACTCCGGGTGTCTTCAAAACCGCCGTTCTTAACAAATAATCATTCAGCAACACGCGCTCAACTGACTTCGATCGCTCTGCCTTTGGGTCGTTTTTGAACACGGAAAATGCCCTTGATGTGAAACGGTTGCGGCCATACGTAGTGCAAGGCTGGGCGGCTTCTTTTTCTGGTTTTTGCTGACGCCCCCTTATCTCATTCAACATGACCCAGTATTAGGAATAGGAGGGGACAGGAGGAGAGACCCGAATCATGGATGTCACATGATTTCTCTTCTTCTGAGCAGCCACGGCGGTGTTTTTTTCTTTCGCCCTGAATGCTGAACTGCCTTGGCTAACAATTCTGTTGAGCCATCGTAAGAGCTCTACGCACAAATTGACCAAGTCCTTTCCTTTTCAAACGCAACACTTCAAACAGCTGTCCTTCTCTCACAATCCCTCTCTCGACAGGAAGCACCTGTTCACTTGGGCGACACTTGAATCCTCTTGTTCGGTGTGTCATTCGGTGACACGAATTCAAAATTCAATCCTGCTTGATGACATTTCAGAACCTCAATTGCTGGCACTCGAACTGAGCCTCATCCAAGCAGTCGCATGCGCATGCACAAACTTTCAATTTGCAAGGTTGCTTCCAAAAAGGCTTCTCAAATACTCGTATGAAACCGTGTCTCCCATGGTTACACTTCATGTGACTCGAGAAAGGTGTATCCAAACCGGCTACCAAAAGGTTCATCTACCCTTGAAGCATCAATCACCTTGAGCGTTCAAGCGTCTGACACGAAGCGTTTAAGCATGTCGCCAGCTTGCTTAGGCAAGAACTGTCTTCATCTTGCTCCACAGCCGTGACATCGATCTGGCAAAATGCCGCCCTGCAAAGAGAAGCAACACGATGCCTCTTACCAGACCCCCTCCAAAGCGTGCAACATGTTCACCCAGCGGCCTACCAGTCCTCTAGGTTTGATCTGTGAACAATCTGTTGGCGTTCCGCATAATAAAAGCAAAAAGGCAACTTCAGCCAGGATGTGCACACAGCTAAACGGTCGGGCGCCTGTGTGTTGTCTTTCATGTCAGGTCTCGGAGCCATTTGCTTCGTCGGCTAGGACATCGATGTAGAGGTTCGGTTTTGCTTTCCTCAAGTCTCCCAAGGCTTGAAGCCCTCTCTTGCCTATATTGTTACGTGCTAGTCTCAGCTCCTCGACCTTGTTGCAACGTAGTAATATTGCAGCGATGTGTTCCACATCTTCATCTCCGAGTCCACAGGACTCCATTTGGTAGGATCGTGCATTCGTCTTAGCCACTGCCACAGCTGCATTCAATGGCAATAAGTTGCCGGTGACTACGACCTCATCTAGATCTGCATAGAACGGCAAAGCTGCACAAAGAACGTCAAGAGCATCTGCGTCCAACCGCTCTGCCATCAACTGCCGGGTGGTCAAGACCTTCTCTGCAAAGACCTGAGCTTGCAGCTTCATCACAACTTCTTTGTCATCATGGTGGGTGAAACGGAGACCTTGTTCCTCCATCTTGTGGCGGAATAGGTCCGGTGGCATTGGAACGCAGTTGTCTAATGACATCCGCAGGCTTGACCATTGCCGTTCGGCTTGACACCATCCTCGGAGCAAGTAAGGTGTCATATTCACCGTGAGTTGGTCAATTGGCATAGGAATCACACGCCCTGCCTTCTCAGAGAAGGCATTGACAGTTCCTGGACGCTTCCATGTCTCAGGAGTGAGCTCTTCCACTATGTGGACCTTGATTGCCTCGTGGGCGTAGAGGGTGTGCATGTGTGCCAAAGCTTCTCTGAAGTACCTTTCCTGTGGTTCAGTTCGGCCACCGTACTGATAAAGCGAGCTAAAGTCATAGAAGATCCAAACTGCACAAGTGGAGGTGACTGGGGGGCACTTTTGGACGATCTCGTGGAGCTGAAACCCATGTGGGTTTGGATGCTCCATGCTCTCCCAAACGTGAGAGATTGACATGATAAGCACCGTCACCCTCCGCGGTGTGGGGTCCATGACGTACATGCTCATGTTGCCCAAGTCATCAATCTCCACACTCTGCAACTCTGATGGTTGAACGATGGCAGGAAGACCTGCAGCCGTGACTTCGAAGTCTGCTTCCTGCCTGCGAGGGAACCTTCGATCTGCGGCAAGCATCTCCCGCAAGTACTCCAACCGCATCAAGCCAATGTTTGCGTCGAGGAGAAGTCGAATCAGCTGCTGCGGGTCTTGCAGGTTGTACTTGCCTCAAAATGCACAAAATGTGACTCTGGCAACAAGAAGAAAGTTCATTGCACTTCCATGATCTGAAGTGAGCAAAGCAACCCTTGCAGGTTCCTAGCAAGCGAACTTCCTAGTATGGCTGCTCAACACGGCAATCTAATTTGTGATTGCTAGCCACAGTGGCACCATTAATGCAAATATTTTTAATAGTATGAACGACATTATACGGCGTCGATCGTGAGTGGATTGCCAATGGTCGAAATCATGAAGCTTTCTTAATATATTAATTGCCTTGCCTTGAAACTTTCAGATAGCGAGTCCAACGAATAACTTTTTACTCCGGGTTGCTCCGAGTTCCAAGGACTCCAAGAGCTTCGAGATATCCTCCCTGTGTCTCCTTTGAAGCTTCAGAGGCATAGTTTTTGTATGTTTTTGTGAGGTTGCGATCAGGACTCATGACTTGCAAAAGAAGCACACCAAGTTCCGATTGCCTGATTTCAAGAGTTTCTCTCCCTCCTCCTCGAACCAGCCCAAAGAATCATGCTTCTGTGTATGTGCGTGTTCCCATTCATTTTTGACTTTGAACTAACATGAAGACAACAAGTGATTGCTTCTCAACTTTTTCGGTGCCTGAGGCGCACTTTGTGAAGCACTGATTTCCTGGCGTTTCAGCAAACAAAGAGAGCGATTTCATGGATAAGACGACCCAGGACTGGGTGTTCCGGCAACAAATCTGTGCGGCCTGAATAGAACATGACATCAAAAGGTCCCGCATATCAAATCCTTGAGCAGCACACATCCGTGGAAGCTGTGCTTCTGGGTCTGAAGAAAGAAACATGCAACACATCCACCTGTGAGGATATTGACCTCTCAAGAAAAACCCAACGACTGTTCATGTTCCCACGACATCATATCCGGCCGCTCCTCACCATCGGTGACCTCACAGCAACACAACGCTGGTTTTCCTTAACCAATCTGTGAGCAACATGTTTCGACATCACAACCCAACATGCCCAATGGAATCAGTTGAGTCAAAGACTGACAGTCTTTCACTCTGCTAGGCTGTTGGGCCGGAGCAATGGCGGTCACAAAACTGGTGTAGTCAATGCCAGCTTCTTGCAAAGACAACTGTTCTTTCCTGGCAGGAAAATTTGCTGCCCCCAAAAGGAAGATACATCTCTTGGAAAAAAACGGGGCCAGGCACACGAATCCTTGATATCACAGACTTCTCAGGTCTAAGGACTAAAGTGACTAAAGATTTCAAAATTTCATGAGGACATTGTGATCTTGGTATGCAACTGCGTTGAACGGTTATTTTTTACCGTCCTTTGCCCAAAAGCGTCTATGTTCCGTGAGACTTTGCCGAAGCCGCTCAACTCGAAACATTCAAAACTCAAAACATGCGGGAAGCACAAAACAGTCCCAGAGCTCGTGACGAGCTGCTTGATCCCAGTCCCAAGCTTTGACCTTGGCCAAAAATGACCATCGCGGTGTAACCTCTGCAACACCAATGATGTAGAAGAGTGACAGAGTCTTATACCGTTGCAACACCATCCCTCCAGCATGACATTCATCAGCTGCATTGGTTTTTCAAGCGCACATTAATTTGTTTCAGCTGGCCTTGAAGTTGGCTGAAGAGATCAGGAGAGCAAACACGCATCCACATTCAAAATCAACAAATCGAGGCACATGAGGCTTGCAATTGTAGGAAGGCATAGACTGGAGCCATTGCGGAGTGGGATTTCAGCATGTTTTTGCATCGAATGCAAATTGAAATCATGACATACACCCCAGGAACCAATGTCAAGAGGTGCCGCACATCAGAGCTCAACAGAGCCAACTCATGTCAACTTGCTGCCTCAAAGTTGCTGGGCTTCTTCGAGCAGGTCTCGCACTGTACGGCTGGGCTCCGGGTCACCTCACAAAGTCCAACATCTGGAGCAAATCGCAAAGGGTTGGTCACAGCTTGCAGGACATATCATCCATCGGAGTTTGTAGATGCTCAAACTCGTTAGCTGCGCTTACTTGGCCTTTTGTCGACTTTTTGCTATTTGCTTGGCTTGTATGTTTTTGTACAGCACCCGGCATGTCTGAGAAGCAAAGTTTCAAGATCCGCAATATGGCACAGAAAAACTCTAAAACAACTCAGTCAGTTTTTTCCATCTAAGAGCTGAGCTGGCGACACCCCACTGACTTGCAGCCAAGCTGCAGCGCACAGTTCGGCCACTCAGCAGGCCCACCTGGACCTGAGCAGTTTGCGAAGCCATGACAAGCATTAGTTGACAGTAGTTGAGGCAAAAAGGCTGTGTGACACACCCAATCTGTATCTCAGTGGGAAGAAATAATTGTGTCAAGTGAAGCAAGCATCATGAACCATGTATGTGTATAGCCTAGCTGCTTAAAACGGATTAACAATGCTTAAAGGGTGTTCCTGATTAAAGCAAGTAAGCCAGAGTCTCCAATCGTCACAACTAATCCGCGAATGTATCCTTTGCAATAGTGGCAGTACTGAATTTACACTCTTGGTCTTGGTTCATTAACCGTTTGTGGTCTAAATGTGGTCCATGTCCAAATGTCAAGTCACTTTGTTGTCTGGCCCAGTCAGAGCCAACAACAAGCAACTCACCAAACAAATCCCAAACACGAATCAATAAGCTTAATGCACCTCATGAATGTCATGTATTTGATTTAAACCGCCAATCCTCCATCCCAAAAAGAACATACCCGTCCCTATAACGAGAACCTCTTCTTTTCCTTCCCTCCTCCTCAACCCTCTCTCTCTTCCTGGGAGCCCATCACCCGACTTAGGCACTGCCAAGGCACGGGACGCAGAACCGGCGCCATCGGCCTCTCTTTGCCAACCCTTTGGGCCAAATCCCAGGGCGTTTCGCCTCGGCCGCGCTTTGCTTCGGCGCAAGGCGACCCGTCGCCGTCGACGCCGAGAGACGCCGACCCCGACGCGATCCGCTCTCCGTTCTCCGCTCTCCGGGCGCCCCGGGCCGCGGTCGTCCTGGGCGTCGACGTCGGCGCCGGCGTCGACCAGGCGCTGCGCCGCGTCGGAGTGGCCGCGGCGGGCCGCCCAGTGGAGAGGCGTATCATCTCAGGACGCGGCGCGGAGGACGAGCGGAGAATAGTTCCTCTTTTTTAAAGGTCTGCAGGGAGGGAATCAGCGGAGAGGCGCGTGCACGTCGAGTTGGATCCTTTTGGGGAGGTTCACGGATTTGCTTTGCTTTTGGGGGGGATTCTCGGGGTTCACGAAGTCTGAATCGCATTCAAACAGTTGCACAATGGCACCCTAATTTCGAGGACCTCACCCAACCGGACTCCCTCTCGTCCTTCGTCCAATTCTCTCGGTTCTGAGGCCGGTCCTTGAGCCCGATCCGCTGCCCCGTTCCGTGGCGCCCCGGCCATCTCCGTCCTTCGCGTCGACGGCGGCGCCGGCCGCCACGAGCCGGTCCACCGTGGCGGGGTGGCCTCCCATCGCCGCAAGATGCAGCGGCGTCCGGCCTCGGCCGTGGCGGCGCCGAAGAGTCGGAAGGACTTTGGTTTTCTCCGGAAGAGGCGGAAGAAAAAACGTGGAAAGAAGTTGGTTTAAGTCAACGTGATTAAGAAGTTGATGCCCCTCTCAATTCATGAAGAATGGCAGGTCACTTTGGACATTTGGAATTCTCTGTTGCTTGGGAGCAAGCATGTCTATCACATTCCATGACGCTATTGTGGGGCACCATGGGCAGGACTCTCGACGACGAACGCACCCAGCAAATTGGAAGTTTCTCCATTGCAAAGGCTATTGCCTCCAGTGGCCTCTGCTCGAGTTGACCGTGCACCAAACATCAAAGACTTTTCCGCGAACGTGCATACCAGTGATTGTACCGCACTGATGGTAGCTCCAAGAGCATCATAAGAGTCTTCTTGAAAACTTACCAAACCACAACTCTTCTTGTCTTAAAATCTTCACAAGCCTCTGGGGCTCCATGCACCACATGCCTTCCTCCGCCTCCAAGTTGGCCTTGGCTTGCGTGAGCCGGTCGACCACGTGGAGGTGGCCCGCTTCGGATGCCACATGCAAAGGCCTCTGGCCTCAGAGGTGCTTCAAGCGGCTTAGAGGTGGAGAAAAAACGTGAAAAAAAGTTGGTTTAAGTCAACGTGAAAAGAAGTCATTATGGGCCA